GACATCAAAGTAAAATTCCAAAATTATTTGATGTAAATTCAGAATTTTAAATTAATTTAAGTAAAATTCAATGAAATTTAAAAATATGTGCAAAAAAATCTAAAATTTTGGGAAGGTGAAATAAGAGATAAAGATAAGTTTAGATGGAATTTTTGAAAGAAAAGGAAAAATTTTATGATGTGTTTAAGGAATTAAAAAAATAGAAATAAAATTTTAAGGTAATTTAAAATAAAACTAAGAAACTAATTTCTAAATTAAGAGTTTATAATAAAATGATATGACAGTCAAATGAAATAAATTAAAAAAAAAAAAAAAAATATTTAGATGAAATTAATAAGATTTATCAACATATTGTAAAATTAAGAGAAATTTCAAAAAAAAATCAAAGAAATTTGAAAATAATTAAAAAAAAAATTCAGAATTTTTAATTTTATAATTTTACGAGGAAAAAAAAAAAGAAGTTCAGTTGACGTCATAAGAATTAACTTTCTTAAGCGGCATGATGTATCACACTTGCACATTTCGTCTGATGTCAGATTGAGTTATACGACCTTATCTCTTACATAGTGTATAAAAGAGTTATATAAAAGATAAGCATGACACGTCGACCCGTCGCTCTTGCCAAATCATCGGGACTTAAAAGCATATCCTAAATAAGGTATGGGCCTCTAATCCAGACCACCATAAAAACTTAATGAGCATCATATCATGATAATGTGTCTATATTCCCTTAAAAAATTGAGGATAGTGAATGTTTGTCCTCATTTTATGTCCTTGTTATAATATCATTATCTTTATCATACTTAATGATTGTCATATAAGTACGACTTTTGTAGTACGCCTCCTATGCAGTAAGAAAAATTTTCATTGAGGTGAAAGAGAACGTAATGCAAATTATTGTTGTTTATTTCGAGTATAACAATAGGAGTAGGTATGGAGAAGGTTTGTCATGTCATTGGCAGAAATGAAGTTTAACTTCTCAGTTGTTGATTTACTATTTGGTTATTGACTATTTATTTAATTTTCACAATAGTTGTTTAATTCTTAGGTACCATCCACAAAATAAGTTTAGTTGGAGGATGTGGCTTATACTATTCGCATATATTTCTACACAAATATCAAACATAACACATTGTATTATTAAGGATATCCTTACACTTAGTGAACATCGATTTTGTTAATAAAGGTGGCTACAAAAGTGCCCGCCGTAATCCGTACGAAGAATATGTTACTATTAAAAACTTTTTAATATGTATTTAAACTATATAAACTTTGACTTGAGGTGATCATACTAGTCGTCATAAAGGGTGTTTAAAAACAACCTGGATTGTTTAAAATTTCAAGCCAAAGTGTTTGACGACTGCAATTTAGTAGGACATCTACTTGAGCGAAAAAGATTTTTGTATATAGCACCGACTTTCAAATGTTAAAATATGATATTGTTGGGATTGTAACTCTAGAGACGGTAACAATACGTTGTGATCATAGCTGAAAACGTTGACCAATACGCAGATAAGACACAGTATATGACGTCTTGTACATATTATTCACATTACATTTAGTCATTCTGACAATAAGAGATTGGTAATTAGATAGCGGTATAATTTAAAGGTAATACCCAACATCGAACAAGTCGTATGAAGGGTGACTATTTGCGAATCACTAAGATAATTTGTCTAACCCTTAAAGGTCACATAATATGAAGTTAATTGTTAACCCTATTCTTTATCGACAACCTAACTTCTATGAGTATATGAGATATAGTACAATTGCTAAGCTATACACGCTAAAGTTGACTGCATCCGTGAGATCACATGTCAAAAACTTCGATTATGCGTTAAATTTATTTCAAACATCATAGAAAGTGGAGTCTAATAAAAAAGTTAACTCCTTAGAACAATTGTTTTTTTTTTCTTTTTTTTTCCTTTCTCTCTCACTCTCCCTTTCTCTCTTTCTTTCTCTCTCTTTGAAAAACAACTCCCTTTTTCCTCCTCCAGTCCGCCCATTTCGCAATATCTCCTCTCTCCCTCCAATTTCACCCCTTTTCTACTTTTCTTTGTATCTATGTTGAACTCTTCGTATGTTTAATACTTATACAATGTATTTGTTTGATACTTGTATGCATTAACATTATAGTTGTATTTGGTGATCCCTCCCTATTCCCATTTTCTTATAGAATCTGATCACCCAACTCCCCTGTAACCTATGATACATATTTATTGTTGACCACAGTAGGGGCGCGAGAAACGCAACCTTAAGGTATTATGTTGCGTTGTTTTTCTGTGTGTGTAATTGTGTATGTGTGTGTATGTGTGTGTGTGTGTGTGTGTGTACCAGTGTGTGTGTGTGTGTGTGAGAGAGAGAGAGAGAGAGAAAGAAAGAGGGAGAGAAAACAAAACAAAAAGAATTATGTGCGCAATGAACATTTACCTCATGACAATGAATCAACCGAGCACTCGACGATCACACGCACCTATCTTTATGTGTATCTGTGACTGTGCGTGTTGTTTTCTTTATCCATTTGTATGACAAATCCCTGCTTGCCGAGGTATATGTTTGCGAGCATGTGTGTTTGTTTCTTTGTGTATGTGAGAGTGTGTGTGTTTGTGTGAGCGAGAGAGTGTATGTGTGTGCGAGCGAGAGAGAAAGTGTGTGTGTGTATGTGTGTGTGAGAGAAAAACAAACAGAGTGCGTGCTTGTAATAGGTGTGTCTCCGACGTGATGAGTTGTGCAACATGCGAGACACACTCACATGCGCACAATAATTGTAAACATGGCAACTTGAACGAAACAGTACTTTTTGCACACACTCTTTCCTTCTTTCTTTCTCACAAACATATGCACACACACACACACATACTCTCTTTCTCGCTCACACAAATACACACACACTCTTTCACACACAAACACTTACTCGCTCACACACATAATCATAGACGAGCACAGATCCATTATACACATTGACAAACAAACAAACACGGACACTCGCAGACACACGTAACATAGGTGCGCGCGTTCGTGAAGAGCTCACCGGACTGTCGTGAGGTAAATGTCGATCTCTCACATAAAATTTTTCCCTCTCTATGTCTCTCTCACATAAGCTCTCTCTCTGTCTCTCTCTCTTTCTCTCTCTCTCTCTCTCTCTCTCTTTCTCTCTCTCTCTCTCCACGTCAACAAACAAACTACGGGTTGCGCACTCGTGCCCTCATGGTAGGTCGATCGGTCTTGAAATTTTGGTATGGTTAATCCCTCTAGTACTTGGTGACGGCTGACGGCCTTAAGTCGGCGGTAACTTTCACATATGTCGGTCATAGGCCCTCTGTGTCGAGCATTTGGGGTCTACCCGGTCGGCACATGCCCGATGATCGCCTCCGTGTTAAATGGCGGGCTATTTTTTTTTGGCTTAGAAAAGGTACTGGGGCTTTTAAGAAGGCCGCACCAGTAGGTAAGCATTTTAAGGGATCGATCTCATACATAGATCCCACTCCTAGTTCCGCGGTTTGCAAGAGGCATTTTGGTGTTTTTATGCTCATAAGAATTCGCCGAAACATTAAAATTTTTAAAAATATGTGGATTCCGTTGTGGTCTTCCTAAAAAGAATATCACAACACTTCTTAAAAATCAATAAGCCGCAAAATAATCTCTACAGCTATCTGCAGCGTTCCTCATTTTTGTCACTTAGCCATATGTGGCCTAAAAAAAAAGTACTCCAACTTAAGCGATTTTATAAGTGATTTTATATGCTAGATCCTCAAAGGAATGCATATGAAAATATAAAAATTGGAGTCCCTGAGTGTCGTTATCGTGAACGTGACCGACATTGGCTGGCCGCCGGGGCCTATAGCAGTGAATGGCTGTTCACGGGTTTCTTGGCACGTGGTGGGTAGAGATGTCGGGGTCAGGGCAGGAGGGAGGTTGCACGGGGGCCTTGAACACCCCCATGACCTCAAAAGTTGGAAAAAAAAAACTAATCGGGGTGTAGATGGTTGGGAAAAAAAATATTTGGGGGGCCGGTGGGGGGTCCGTTGGCACAGGGTCTTAGGAGGGAAGCGCCACTTAATGGGAAAAAAATAAAAAAATGTGGAGTTTGGGTAACACCCCACAATGCCCACACAACCACACAACGCTAACAAACCCCTACCAACCCATTCCCCTCCCCCTCTCGCCCACCCCAAAACCCGACCCCACCCAAAACCACCCACCGCCCCAAAACACCCCCAACACGCATAACCCTCAACCCCATAACCCCACATTCCGGCACCCACCACAACCCCCCCCCCCCCCCCCCCCCCCCCCCCCCCCCCCCCCCCCCCCCCCCCCCCTCTAACCACAACCCAAAATCAGAACGCCATGACATAACCCCCTGCTAACCCCACAGACCACACCGACGCCCCCCACATTCCCACATACCCCTTATTAAGCCTAAGTAACCCTCCCCCACATTCCTACATACCCCTTAGTAAATCCCTCTCGGCCCTCCCGACACATACCCGCTCACCCCTCAATAAACCTAACTTACACAGATAACCCCTCCTCAATCACACATTCCCATATAAGTCCACTCCCAATTCCTTTTGAAGACCCCCCATGCCTACAACATACATGGGTTTTGACGGTGGAACCCCCTGAAGAGGCAACGGCGGTTGCCGAAATGTGGCGTCGGGGACGCTACCTATTGTTTTTAATTCTTTCGATCTTGTAAATGTCGAATACTTTGCCAAGTCACGGTTACTGCCGCTGACGTGAGTCTTCATATGAGTTTTTCATGTGTTTGCACTCCATTGTGTGTATCAACTATCTACGACGCGCGTGAACACTCTTGGATAGAAGAATACTGGGAGTTGTGAGCGCGTGTACACTCTGTTACCTATTCCTATTGTTAACTTGTACGACGCTTTGGTGAATGCGTAACTGCGACCAACGGTTATTGGAGTGTGAGTACCTCGAAAGTTGTCGGAGATGAGTGACCACCGTGATTACGGGAGAAGCGAGCGCCGCTCGGACAGTGAGGAACGAGGAGGCTATAGAGGGTCGAACAGATCCTATGAACGGGATCTGCAGTATCGAAGATCCCCACCAAGATGTTTCGCATGCAGGGAGCGGGGCACTATGCCAACCAGTGTCCTAATCGAGAACGGCCATCTACATCCTTCGATGTACGAAGGGGAAGATCAACATCCCCTAGGAAGACGATGGATGAAGTGAAGCCGATCGTGGTACAAGAGACTGTGGCGCTAAAAAAACAGATTGAGGAGCTGAACCGAAGTCTTGCATCTGTTTCGGAATTTGTGAATAGCGAGAGACTGAAGAAGGAAGAAGAGGAGCGCAAACAGAAGGAGGAGGAGGAGGAAGCGCGGCCTATGGAGGAAGCGGAAGAAGCCAAAGAGAGGAAGAATAAGAAGCGGGCTGCGAAACTACAGCGCGAAGCGGAGCGGATTGCCGAGATGGACAAGCGATTGAAAATGAAGTTGGCACTAAGAACCGGTGACTTCTTCGAGAAGATCGAAGCTAATCTAGGGCCTGTCATTGAGTTGGCTCGTCATGTCAAAGGGAAGAACAAAGGCATAAGTCAACCAGCTTCAGCGTCCGGATCCGGCAGTGATGGTGACGATAGTGCGACTGAAGACATACGACGACAGACAAGGAACCTGACGATTGGGGACAAGCGTAAGAGGGGACCCGAGCCGGTTTTTTAGGATAGTCCACCTATGATTACGCGAACAAAGAGGACACCACGGAAGTGAAGGGGAAGCGGGTGACAACAACATGCCGAGTAAAGCCAAAGTCGCAACTGAAGACCAAGCTGTCTCCATACATGGACAAACGGAAGGGGAGCCCGGGGAGTACGATTGTGAAGCTGAAATTTCGGAACAAAGTGATAGACGAGATTCGAGGCTTGGATGCTCAAGAGCTACAAGCAATCTGCAAGGCGGAAGGTGTTCCGTATCACGAGAAGATTGAATCGATCTTCGACATCGCTAGCTATCGAACACGTGTCGAATTTGGCGAGACTCAAACCGAAGAGGCATCTGATCTCATGGAGATCGAGGATGAGGTGTCCACAACCTTGGAGGACGATGAACCTGAAAGCGAGGCTTGAGGAGGTTACGGAACTGGCGAGATCTAGCGCATGATACGAGCCTTAACTGACTATCGGAGTTCTATTAAGCGAGTGAATGAGCATGCTGAAGAATTACTCATAAGATATATCATGCTACTGTCCTTCAGAGGTAAGATTAGGTGGACTAAGAAGTTGGTGGATGGGTGACGTAAGTTGTACGATGAGCTGGGTGACGACTTCTTCGTTCTTAAGGGTTGTGTGTACGTTGCTGTATCGTCGTACTGCAAACTGCAGTACATAGGTAAGACCGGTAGGGAAATCAACTGTAGATGGGCGGAGTACTTTTCTGCATGTCGTACTAAGAAGTGTACGCACTTCCACCGGTGGATGGACTCTTTTGGCGTAGGGAAGTACGTACTTCTCCCTATTGCCAAAGGAACCGAGTCGGAGCTATTGGATCCTAAGAAGACATACATTAGGCATTGGTCCCCGTTCCTTAACTCCATAGGGAAGAAGAAGGGTCGTGGGAACAAGAAGCCTAAGAAAGGGAGAAGGAAGAGGGATAGATCACGAAAGGAGGCGTTTAGAGCTATTGACCCTGTCAGGGTTAGAGCGGCAGGCGAACCGGAGTGGTTACGGTCGATTGACCTTTTGAAACTGTTGTTAGCTAAGGAAAGCGCAAACTCTCGTGCCTTTGTGATCGAATCTAGTCACTGTGGCGGTAACACATGGTTTAATGGTTGGAAGAAAATCCGGAAGAGATCTGGTGAGTCTATTGTAAAAAGCCCGGTGGGAAGCGTTACCTTGAAGGAGAGTAAGAAATTGTTTGAAGACGGTGGGAGGTTAGAGATCGAGCATCTGAGAATCTGAAAAACTGGAGGCGGTTTTTTGAAGAAACTTCTAATTGCGGTTCTGAGGAATCCGAGGAGGATTCATGACTCTAACAGTTGGGGGTTGAAGTCGACCCTTCGGTTATACAGCGCAATCAAAGACTTCCGAAAGAAATCAACTCGCAAGTCTCTGCGTCGCCTTTTATCTCGAAGGATCCGTGTACGTTTTGGATTGTGTATGTATGCGGATTTGACGGTTCGTCTAAAGTATGACGACCGTTTGAAAGTTGGTGAAGTCAGAAAAGTAGTAAATGATGGATTGATGATGTGTGAAATCCCAACTGCCTTTAGGAAACGGGCGCAACAGAAAAATTATGGTTTTTTTTTTTGGCGGTTTATCATATGCGGACACCCTTTTTAAACTGTTGGTTTCGTGTTAATAAATAGTTTGCCGGAGGTAGTGTCATGTGTTCCACCAAAAGTGAAGGAACTCAATGTTGATAACATATGTCATAAACATGTGACACTGTGTTAAGCACTTTTTCAATTGATGAAAAATTGTTAATAAACTGTTTATAAGTTGTTGTAATGTTGTTTACAAGTTGTTTAAATGTGTTGAAATGTTGTTGAAATATTGTTTAAATGTGATGAAATGTTGTTGAAATGTTGTTTAAATGATATGATAGAGAGAGAGAGAGAGAGAGAGAGAGAGAGAGAGAGAGAGA